CACCAGACCCAGATGAGTGAGTCAATAATCAACCAACCAGCTGCAGCTTCTGGACCAGCAGGGTTCTGGACCAGCTGGATTCTGGACCAGCAGGGTTCTGGACCAGCAGGGTTCTGGGTCGTTGGTCTGTCAGTCTGACCTGCTGCAGGAATCAAAGCCACTAAACGCCTGGATGAGTTTCTCTGGTCAGAGACTTTAGTCTCTGGTTCTGAAATGTTCTGCAGCTGATAGAAGAACCACTGAGGAACCGGCTTCATGTGGCTCTGAAGGTTCAGGTCAGAGGTCAGAGGTCAGCCTGATCTCTGGTTTCTACCTGGAGTAACTGAATCTGTTCTGACTCTAGATTTATAACTCTACATGGTTCCTCTTTGGGTTCAGAGATAATAACTTGGGTTATGATGAGTTTGGTCACGAATCTCCATTGACTGATTAGAAGAAATACATTAGCAGCTCATAAAGATCCCTGAGATCTGTTTCTGGAGTATTAATTCTCTGTTTACTTCCTGATTCTTGTTCAGGACCCAGAGGTCTCACTGGGGAACAAGGAGAAGGAGGCCCCCCAGGGAACCGAGGGCCAAGGGGCATGGATGGAAAACCTGGAGGGCCGGGGCCGCCAGGTAAACATTTGGCTGCGCTGTGTGGACTGAGCGAAGCAGTGGAGGTCGTTTCCCTGGTTTTATTGAAGATAATGAAATGTTTCATGTCTCTGGGTGTCAGGACGTCCTGGAGATCCAGGTAGAGATGGAGAGAGAGGTCCTTGTGGTTACACTGGACCCCCCGGGGACAAGGGACGCACTGGCAGACCAGGTAAACGTTTATGCCACCAAAGATCCGACAGCAGGAAATAAGTCAGAAATGACAACGAACTCCAGGATAACTGCGTCAGTTTCAGCTCCTCCGATGTTTTCTTCAGGTGATCCAGGTGAAAAAGGTGCAAAGGGAACCAATGGGGTCCCTGGTTCAGATGGAGGGCCAGGGAACCCCGGAGATAAGGGACTTAAAGGAGAAGCAGGTTTTGGACGGGGAGGTAAAGGCTGTAAAGGAATGAAGGTACAGCACAGAAAAACACCCACTGTGTCCCGTACATGACATTTGATCCGGTTCTGGTGGATTGGTCCAAACACAAAGCCAACCCGGACCCGGCTGCAAGATCAGCACTTAGTTCTGTTCTGTCCGTCGCCTGGTACCTTCAACGGTTTACAGCAAACAACCAAGCATACGCTGACTGCGAACGTCGATCCATCCAAACTATATTTAATAAACAAAAATCAGTTGTTCTACAAAAATGTCAGACTGATCCGCCGCTCTCTGACCAAACAAAAACCGAACGTCTCATTGGATTTATTCTACGTAGAAACAGATTCTGAAATAAACCCTGTTTCCCTCAATAATAAAAAACTAAATTATCCGGTGAAAAGTCAAAGCGACAATGTCGGGGCCAAAGTGATCCACAAAAGAGAAGGAAAGGTCTGACCGGGTCTCTGCAGTCGGATCCGATTACAGAACAAAGCCTTTTGGTTCCTGCATGGACGGAGAGGGAACAGTCAAAGTAACGTTCTCCTGTGTTGATGCTGCTGGATGATTTCCAGTTCTAGAACCAAAGTCCAGGTTCTGTGAATATACTTTATTAATGCTTAATAAAGTATATTCATTCATTCATTCATTCATTCATTCATTCATTCATTCATTCATTCATTCATTAATTCCTGTTCTTATTTTTCCCACAGGGGATTCCTGGACCTCCAGGACCTTCAGGTCCAAAAGGAGCAGGAGGACCAGCTGGAGTCCCTGGCCCTCCGGGGCCCTCCGGTCCTTGTGGACCTGTGGGACCCAAAGGGCCGCCTGGATCCAAAGGTCTGGCTCGTCGCATCATCGTTTCTCCTCTCAGTTTTAAATCTGGAATGAAAACGTTTCTTTTGTCTGCAGGTTCTCCTGGTAGAGCCGGGGAGAAAGGTTTGGACGGCCCTCCTGGGAACTGTGGCCCTCCAGGGCCTCCTGGAAGTCCAGGTACACCAGAGCCGCTTTACCGGCAGCTTTAAACTCACTGGCTGCGTTTCCATTAAATAAGTAAAGATTAAAATCTCACATGAATGTTTGTTCATGTGATAAATCATTAAAACGCCGCCATCAGACTGTTGTCCTGTTGTCTTCTTCGTCATTTCTAGCAGTAGCAACATCCGGCTGTCGGTCATGTGACTTCTGAGATAAAAACAAATGTTTCTATTGCAGTTTTATGAAATATTAATCTCAATACGGCTGAAAAACCACTTCATCCCAGCAGCAAAACGTTTTACTGAAAAACAACTTTATGAAAATCCATTGAAGCTGCAGGTTGTAACTTTTAAAAATATATATTTTTACATATTTATTGACGCTGTAAGCAGATAATCTGGAAAAAATCCTCTGCATTCTCCAAGTGCTAATTAGAAAACAACCAATCAGTACAAGGAGGCGGGTATTAGTGCTGTCAGTCATCCTCTGTGTGGCGCTGCTCATCCCTCCTTGCTGTCTGCTAAGCTGCAGCTAGCATAGCCTGTTGTGAACGCTCAGGCCTGTAACAGTGAGTTGTTTCTCCACAATTAGCACATTTAGCAGCGCGTACATCAGGATGATTGTTGGTGCTAAGCCCCGCCTCCTGGTTCTGATTGGTTGTTTTTGGTGCAGTAGCAACTCAAACTTCTCACACATTATCTAACAAACTGTAACAACATGGAGACATTTTTCATCAGTTACATTCTGAAGCTTTAACCAGATTTAATTCCATTTTGCACGTTTCCTTGGTGAATGAAGTCCAGCAGCTTTAAGCCTCTGTCCGACCTTCGTCTCCAGGATGCCAGGGGTCTCCTGGAGCGCCTGGTCCACCAGGACCCAAAGGAAACCAGGGCCGGGACGGGATCCCCGGGCCTGACGGAGAGAAAGGAGATATGGGCTGTAAGAGTCAATAAAGACGTACGAACCAAAACGCTGCCCGTGAACCTTCACTGATCTACTTCTTCATCTCCAGCATGTCTACCTGGACCTAATGGGCCGGCAGGAGAAAGAGGTCCCCCTGGTAAGGCTTTGGTTTAATTCTGGTTGGGGTGGGTTCAGAAGGACGCAGTAACTCTGCCACCCTCCTCTTCCAGGATGTGTGGGGGACAGGGGCCCGCCGGGATGCTGTGGGCCTCCTGGACCCCCTGGGCCTGAAGGAGACCCGGGTTACAAAGGTGCTGTGGGCCCCCCAGGGCCTCCTGGTAGTGCTGGGAAGAAAGGGGGCGAGTGCATCGATGGGACGAAGGGATATAGAGGATTTCCTGGACCTAAAGGACCGAAAGGTGGAGAGCTTAGTCTGTTTGACAGCTGGATTCATCTCTGAATTAAATAAAACGATAAAATCTGTCACTGTGCAGGCCCTAAGGGTCCGCCCGGTCCGCCTGGTCCGCCAGGCCCTGGTTACAAAGGCCATAAAGGCATTAAAGGAGAACTGGGTCCCCCAGGACCTCCGGGACCAACCGGTGACCCCGGTCCTTGTGGACCTCCTGTGAGTCCCGCCTACAGGGGAAGTTGAGAGAAAAACAAACTGAAACTTGAATGAAGTGTCATAGTTACTTGTTTTGCCTTCAGGGTCCTTGCGGGCCGCCTGGATATCCTGGAGAGAAAGGCTGCAGAGGACCGATTGGACCAAAAGGTCAAATCGGTAAGAACCGCGGACCGACGGGGAGCAGCCTGATCGTTTTCAGTTTGTCTTCCTGTTTGTTTATGAGTCTACAAATTCACAGCTGATCTCATCTGAAGCCACTTTACAGAACAGAAAGATCTGATTCCATAAATATGTCAGATCAACACAAATAAGATTCCCATGAAGTTTGACCAGTTATGATAAAAAGCAGGAGAGCTTAGTCTCCACAATGATGCTAAACTATCATTGTATTTAGCAGAAGCTAACATAAATCACTAAGCTGAATCAGGTTGACAGCCAACATGTCAGTAGCATGCTACATCGTAGCATCTCGCTCTCAGGTTTGTTACAGAAACGTTTTATTTGAGCTTCAGGAAGAGACTCTTAAGAACCGACTTTTCATTTGTGGTTTCAGTTCATAGTTGTTACTTTTTGCCAACTCTGTTGCTGATTCTGGCCTAACTTGGTCGGGAAGCAGACAGGACTGTAGACCGACAGCAATGCATTCTGGGTAAAGAGTATTTGGGAGAAATGTGGCTTCAGAACTAAATTGGGTCAAACTAATTTCATGATCTGATCTGTGAGCTGTAACTCATTGATGTTTGGTCAAAGTTAAATACGATCTTACTGACCTCAAAGCACCCCCTTGTGTGTGTTTCAGGTATGGAAGGGGAGAAAGGACCGCCAGGTAACCCCGGCCCAGATGGACCACCAGGACGAACCGGGAACCCAGGTGAGAGGAAGCAGGCAGACCTGAGACAGGCCAGCTGTTGGATCAGCTCTGATTAACCCAATCCTGCCCTAATCCTGCCCCAGTACTGCCCTAATCCTGCCCCAGTACTGCCCTAATCCTGCCCCAGTATTGCCCTAATCCTGTCCCAGTATTGCCCTAATCCTGCCCCAGTACTACCCTAATCCTGCCCCAGTATTGCCCTAATCCTGCCCCAGTATTGCCCTAATCCTGCCCTAATCCTGCCCCAGTACTGCCCTAATCCTGCCCCAGTATTGCCCTAATCCTGCCCCAGTACTGCCCTAATCCTGCCCCAGTACTGCCCTAATCCTGCCCCAGTATTGCCCTAATCCTGCCCCAGTACTGCCCTAATCCTGCCCCAGTACTGCCCTAATCCTGCCTTAACGTTGCCCTCCTGCTGCCCCTTGCAGGACCAAATGGGAAGGACTCATATTTTTCTGTGTGGTCGGAACCAGGAGACCCAGGTGAAGAAGGAGCTCTAAGCCAAGTGGGAGGAATCGGATCCCCGGGTTTCCCTGGACTGAGGGGAGCTGATGGTCAGTCATGTTGCCATGGTTACTGCTGAAACACCTGAACCTCTTTCCTGACGTGACGTTTTCCTGGTTCCAGGTTCAAAAGGCTCACTTGGAGCACCGGGTTGGACGGGAATACCTGGGCGTGATGGACTGAGAGGAGAGGATGGAGAGAGAGGACGAATCGGTCGGAAAGGTATGAAAACATCTGACTCGTCCTAAAATCACCATGGCAACAAGTTAAACGTCAACAGAGTCGATCTGTCTGGTCCGTCTGGAGGCTCAGAGTTTCTGCATGTTGAGTTCAGATGAAGTCCAACCATCTGCTTGGTTCCAGGTGCGAACGGAGAGCGTGGCAGACCGGGAGCCAAGGGTCCTCCAGGTGAGCCAGGTGAGCCAGGCAGCGGCTCGCCGCCCCGGAGGAACGGCTTCCTGTTCAGCAGACACAGCCAGGACAGCGCCGCCCCGGCCTGCCCGGCCCAGTCCACGCTCATATTCAGAGGATACTCGCTGCTCTTCATCAACGGCTACAGCCGCGCTCACGGACAGGACCTGGGTAGGTCACAGAGGTCACAGAGGTCACAGAGGTCACAGCCTACCTCAGACATACAGATCACAAGCCTCCATGTCCATCCAAGCAGACGCAGCGTTCTGCGACGCTGTAGAGCCACACTAGGAAAAACTAAAATACAAACTTCAGGATAAACTATCAGTTCGGCTTTATTCTTTTATTATTATGACTTTATTATAGTTTCATACTCTGTTCTGGTCATTTTACTACTTTTTTCTCATGACTTTTTTCTGTAATATTATGACTGTTCTCTAAATTATTTTTATGTTCTGATGTTTTTTCTCAGTTGGTGACGTTTTTTTCTCTTACAGCTTCATTCTTGTAATTTTACCACAGTGGTAAAATTACACTTTTTTACAGGGAAAAAGTAAATATGAGAGTTAAAATATTACTCTCATAATATTTTGACTTTAGTCTCCCTATATTATGTCTTAATTCTCATAATTTTACTACTCTTTGATGTAATATCATTTAATTCTCGTCCATCTTTATTCTGTTAATAGTTTTATCCTGATGATTTGTTTCTGGCCGTATCGCCGCGGCGACGGTCTCCCTGCAGGAACGGTCGGCAGCTGCCTGCAGCGTTTCAGCACCGCTCCCTTCCTGATCTGTGAGGTTGGAGAGGAATGTCGATACGCTGAGAGGAACGACTATTCCTACTGGCTGTCCAACATCAGGAGCCCGCCAAACCAGACCAGCCCAGAGGCGGCGCTGGAGTCCAAGATCAGCAAGTAGCGTCAGCAAACCTCCTGATTCAGATCTGAACACCAGAAAACAATATTTTTAGCTTCATGAAGAAGAAACCAGCAGACTGAGGATGAAGGTGAGGTGTTCCACCTGGTTCAGGTGTGTTTCTGGGTTTCAGGTGTTCGGTGTGTGAGTCTGAAGCCAACGTGATCGCCATCCACAGCCAGACCAGCGCCGTCCCGCCCTGCCCTGCGGACTGGCAGTCGCTCTGGACCGGATTCTCCTTTGTGATGGTCAGTGGGACGTTTCCCTTAGAGCTGCTGAGTCCAGAACTGCAACGTTTAGACCTCAGATCACCTGAATCTGAGTTCCCCTGTTAAAGCGCGCTGCGTTCACGTCTTCTGTGTTCAGGAGACGGGTGTAGGCGCCGAGGGCTCGGGGCAGCCTCTGGTTTCTCCCGGATCCTGCCTGGAAAACTTCCAAGGAATGCCGTTCATGGAGTGCAGCGGCAGCTCAGGAACCTGCAAGTACGACAACAGCCTGTACAGCTACTGGCTGGCTGCTCTGGACCCTGACAACATGTTCAGGTAAACCTCCATTCACCTGCTGACAACATGCTAACCGCTACACGACTCGCTGTTGTCCTCAGACTCACAGGTTTAACACGACATCATCAGAGTGGATTTATGATGCATAAATCACTGCTAATAATCTGACAGATGTTGGTTTCTTCTCCCATCAAACGAACCGTTTATGTTCAGAAGATCAAAGGTTGTGCAGCAAATGCTTCAGCTGTTAATGAATCGAGGTGTAAAGCCACAGACCTGGGTTTACTTTGACATAAGGATGAAGTACAAAGTCATTCATCTCTAAGCGTGACATTTCATAAGTAAGTTAGTAAAACTTTATTTTTAAAGTTTAAAATCACAAAACATTTCAAAAGAGTCAACAGTGTATAAAACCCAAGATAAGTTAATAAAAATCAGATTTTATAACCTACCTGTGTTCAGAGGTCCTACATGATGACGAAGATTTCTCCAAGTCAATAGAATATTCTTAAGTTGCTCTCTAAAATAATCCGGCGGTGAGCTGCATCAACGTCGGAGTCGTGTGTAAAACTTGGCAGCAGCATTTTGAACAAAGACATTCTTCTCCACTAACTGAAAAACAATTAATAAAATACTTTCAAATCAAATTAAAACCAAACTGTATGTGCAGCTATATTACTGAAATAAATAATCTGAGGTAAAATTAGGAATAAATAATATTAATAATCCATAAAAACAGGTCAGCTGCTTCAGTCGGACCCAAACGACCAGGAGAGACTCAGAAGCTCCAGAACTGAGCCGAGTTTAAATGAATAAACATTCAGATAAACCGTCAGCCGCACTGAAACCTTTCAGCCTGCAGTTTCCCTGAAGGCCAGCAGGTGGCAGCATTCTCTGTGGAACCAGCACCTGAGGTCTGATTGTGTTTGGATCTGCAGGAGGCCCAGCAGCTGGATCCTTCCAGGGAACAACCCAGACAACATCAGCCGCTGCAGAGTCTGCATGAAGATCATGCAGATGTGACCTTTGACCTCTGACCTCTGAGGGTCAGAGGACAGGTCGGTCCAACAGCACATCTGTCCCCCAGTACTCCTGTCCTCTGAGGCAGTCAGACATGAGCAGAACCAGAACCGGTTATGGCGCCGCTGCGGTGACGTTTGGTTCTGAGCAGGAAGACGTCGCGTTGCCAGGTTGGTGAAGAGCCGCAGCCGGTTCACAAACTCCTCCTGTTGGGTTTGTGTCATGTTTCTTATCAGCAACCTAACCTGAGAAAACTTCAGGATGAGAGTTTAGTTTATGAAGAGGCAGCAGAGAGCGGCCTGAAGCTAACCGCATCAGCCAATCAGAGACCAGCCTGAAGCTAACCGCATCAGCCAATCAGAGGCCAGCTGGTCTCTGCTGCAGCACCAAGCTAGCCTAAAGTCACAAACTGGTTGAACATTTTGGGACCTCCTGGTTGATAGAAAGTCCAGGTCCAGGCCCAGAGCATCATACTGCCACCACCATGTCTGGCTGTTTTCTGTGAGATTTGCTGCTGTTTTGGTGTTTTTATGGAACTTTTTCCAGACTAAAGCTACATTCACACAGCAGGTTTAGATTTTTTTAGCTGAAATCTGATTTTTTTTCTGTTGTCGTTCATTTTACTAATTAAATGTGATCAGATTTCTGGTTGAATGTTCTCCGACCCCAAAGAACAACGTAGCCGCTACCCAGTAGCGTTCTGTGTTTGGCACTAAAGATGGCCACAACCATGCATGGATGGTTCTTAAAGAGGCAATATCATATAAAATCTAATTTTTTTTTTATCTTTCTGTCATGTCATAATTTTATTCCCTCATGAAAAACAAACCTGGAGTGTTGCTTTGATTCTTTAATGTTTGAGAAATCCTTTAATTTCCATGGCAACCATTCAACTGCAGAACCCCTGGACGGACCTAGCCCCGCCTCCAAGACACAGCTCCTCCCCCACTCAACTCCTCCAGACTAGCCAGCAGCAATTAGCAAACAGCTGGTGGACCTGCAGAGCTGCTGCTCAGAGCAACGCTGGTAAAAACGTTAATGGGATGACTTCCTGGAGGCGGAGCTTTAGACAGAACAGGAGTTTTTTTAAGAGACAGAGACCCATTTTCAAAGTCTGGACATAAAATTTATTTTCAGTCATATTTGATCTATAGAAAATTTCTGAAGGAAACCAGTTGTTATATGAAGCAGTGAGTTCACTGATTCACAATGCTTTCATTTTCAGGCATTGTTTATGTCCAGATTCACCATCTGGCTTCTTCTGCTGCTGAATTATGACGTGGTAACGATGGAAAAGTCGGATAAAATGTGACACGACTTTTGAAAACTATCAGAGACGATTGAATTCCACATGTAGAAGAGGAACAGATTGGATTTTATTGGGGGCGAAAAGACGGAAAGCCTGATATGATTGCAGTCACCTGCTGTGTGAACGCAGCTTTAATGAACGTAACTTTAACCCTTGTACGAAGAAATGGGGTCCAACCGACCCCACACATGTGAAATTTGTATCATTTGCCTCAGTCCTCGCACACATTAATGAACACGGCTTTAATGAACGCAACTTTAATGAACGCAACTTTAATGAACGCAACTTTAATGAACGTAACTTTAATGAACACAGCTTTAATGAACGTAACTTTAATGAACGTAACTTTAATGAACATAACTTTAATGAACGCAGCTTTAATGAACGCAGTGCCTTGTTAGGTTTTTCTGCATACTTCATGTTGTCATTGAGGTTCTGTTCAGGTTAAGACTTTAAAATGGTGACATGTTGCATTAAACAGTTCAGTGCGGTTTCCCTGAAGTAACCAAACATTTTCAACAACAAACTGTCTGTGGCTGACATCATGCTCACATCTGATTGGCTGAGAGGACAAGAAGTCTGGAAACTGAGGTCTGCAGTTGGACGATATGAAATGTGCTGTGGGATTCATTACATTTTTATTGTTATTATTATTGCCACTGTCATATATCCACTCAAAGTGGCTGTTACAACTGTAGATAAATCCATAAATGTATTTGAATCAGAACATGTGTTATGTTTAAATGTTTTGTTGTTGTTTTATCATCTAAGCAGAAATGGACCCAAAGCATAGAAAACATTTATGGACTCAACATGAACACGTAGAAAACATGGAGCTCTGTTTTCTCCAGTAGACAGTGACCTTTTTGTAAAACTAATTAGCTGTTTCTGAGGTTTTAAATCCAACAGAACTGTTAAGTATCATCTTTAAAGATGGCTGACCTCAGCGTGACGCTCTCATTCAGTCCAGAATGGTTCATTAGTCTGATTATCTATGGAGGAATTTCACTGCCATAAGTTGAGAGCACACATTTTCAGTCTGAAAGCAGGATTTCATCTTTGTTCTTAAAACTTGTCATGCTTGCGCTCAAAACTTCTCTTTCAAATATTCTCTGTGCTCTCTCAAATCTTTGTGCTCACACTCAGATTTTCTCCTCAGGCTCAAAACTTCTCTCGACACGGATTAACTCTCCACTTGTAAACCTCGCTGCTCGCTTGTCAATTCTTTTCTGCTCTCTCTCAAAGCAAAGAAGTACTGTTGCCTAGCAACGTCTTAGTTTCCGTGCTTCAGGCTTCTGTCTGTTGGTTCAGTTCATCCTCATGTAAATGTGTTTGATCTTGTTTCTCTTTGTTTTATTAAAATTGCTCCATCAATCGTCTTCTATGATATTCACCTGGTCTACTTTCTTCCACCTGAGAAATTATATCCATACATAAAATTCAGATTGTTATGTAAATTAGTTTTATTTTCCCTCCTGATGGTCCAGTCGACCCGGTTATACTGGAACCAGAACTCCATCATCTGCTCCACCTCCAGCTGCTGTGGTTCTGAGTCAAATCAACCTGTTCCCCTCCTGGCCTGTGGGGGCGCTGCACCAAGAACCACTGAAGGAAATGACAGGAAACCTCTGAAGACACTGAGAGCAACTTCCTTCTTCACCAGATGGAAACAAGATGGAGGATTTTAGCGGTTGGAGGATTTCTCTTTAGGCTGAAGACCAGGATACATTTCTGCTGCTAGCGCTAGGCTAACACGTTATGTTTGGCTGTATTTACCCAGAATGCCCTGTGCTGTAGTCCACTTCCTGCTTTTGCAGCGGCCTCCGGTCCGCTTGGCGTTCACATATCAAATGGGAACAGAGTTCACTTCAACCAAACCCAGCCTGAGCTGTGGAGGACCAGAGGTCAGAGGTCAGAGGTTGATTAGCATTCACACCTCACCAACTGGACTGGACTTTATGGGCAAACAGACTGGAGTTCATGTAAAGAGAGTAAACAGGGCTGGAGGAAATGGATGTTCAGTGTAAGAAGTTTCTTTCTAAAAAACTCAGCAGAGCAGCTTTTGGCTTGCAGCATTCAGTCCTTCTGACCAGCAGGGGGCGACAGTGGAGAGGAAAAACTCCCTGTTAAAAGGAAGAAACCTGCAGCAGAACCAGGGTGAACAGCCATTTGGAGGTTTAATAATAATAACACCTTTTATTTGTAGGCGCCTTTCTTGACACTCGAGGCCACCTTACATAATTTAACATTAAAAAAAAACACACAAAATTGAAATACATGGTAAAAAGTAAAGTACAAAATGACTAAAAGACCTTAAAAAATGAACCGCAGCGTTCACTCTTACCGGAAGCGATGAAGTATGAATGAATGGATGAATGGATGAATGGTTTGAGAAAACAGACAAAAAGAAACTGAAGCCGTATAAAATGCAACTGCTGCGATTTGAAAACTACCGGATCGGACTTGGTTCCACATCTGGAAGTGGAACTGACCAGATGTTTTTGGGGTGGAAACATTGGAATCGGATTTCTGTGACTACAGGGGAAAGTCGGTGCAGATCGCCTGTGTTGACGTAGCCCAATGCTAGCCGAAGGCGGAGCCATTTCTGGTCATTCTGAGCCGGTTTTCTGCCTCACCAGGTGTCGGACATGGAGTCGTAAACAGCAGCACCGTCACACGAAGATGAAACTGGTTTGACTCTTGGACACCCCTCCTCTGGGTATCGTCCTGTTGACGCCGCCACAAACCAAATCCACCTGAACGTCTCACCACGCCAACATGGGAATGAAAAATAAACTTTTTTACACTTTTCAGATTAGAGTAGCTTTACTTTAATAAATTTACATTACAAAAAAGAAAACAAATTAAAACAGTATATTACAAACCAATAATTTATCAATAATTCAGGCTGATCATCGCTGCCCGCTCGTCTCATTAAAAGCTTCTGCTGCGTTTTGGCTCAGCTGAACGTTTCAACGCTGAAGGAATAAATCCTGGCCGGTTTTCAAACGGGATGTTTCTGATTGTTGAACCTTCTTGTGGTGACGGGATGAGAAAACAGAAAACCTGGTGGAGCTTCTGCCTCATCGAGGAGAATCTGAAACTTTCTGGTTTCGTCTGAATGTCAGAATTTCCTTCTGCTTCTCTTTACAGCAAATTAAACTTCACATTTTATTATTTTAATAATCTGCATGTCGGAGTGACTCAGAGTCTGAAACATCTGCACGCATCACAGCGAGGAGCGGTGATGTCATCGCTCTCCCATCAAGCTTCCATGTCTCTGTGTGTGTGTGTGTGTGTGTGTGTGTGTGTGCGTGTGTGTGTGAGTGTGTGTGTGTGTGTGTGTGTGTGTGTTGATGCCAGCGGGTCCCTAGTGACGGCAGCTCGCTGCTAATGTGTCACCACGGCAACCACCTGCTGTTAATGTGCTGTTTATTAGCAGAGATGATGAAGACACTGGAGACAGAAATGTTTGACGACTTTACGATCTCTGGCAGGAATCTGTTCAGTCATCGATCAATAAACAATAAAATCCGTTTTCAAACAAAAACTGTTTGTTTTTTTTAAATCAGACTCGGTAAGGAGAAGTTTTAGATCACAGATCTGTTTTATATGAAACCTACAGAAAAGTTTAGCTTAGCGTTATCAGCCGTAATGAATCTAAAACTCATTTTCATTTGGAATAGATGCAGTTGAACTGAGTTCATTTTCTGAATTGTTGCAGAATCAATAAAAATAGTTTGAATTGAAAGTCTGGCAGGTTTGCTGGTCCAGTTGCAGACCACGCATATGCTGGACATGAACCGTTTAGACTTTAACCAACGTAAAGTGTTCGTCATCCGGACAGAAATTATCTGACTGGCCGTACTTTATACCACATGATGTGATCTATGAAGACCTGGTAACTGCTCACAATGTTTTCACAAGAAAAATCTGAAAAGTGTGGCATGCATCAACAGGAAGCCTGTCTGAGTCGGAACGCTGCAAGTTTGTATAACATCTCCAATCTTTGTAAAACAGCCCAACCTCAGACTGGATGGAGGAAATCTGATAACATCAGTTTTCAGGTTTTACCACAGAGTTCGGCTGGATTAAGACCCGGACTTTGACTAGGCCACTCTAACCCATGAATTTGATTTGATCTAAACCATCCGTTGTTTTCCTGTCATCTCTGACCAGCTTCCCTGATCCTGCTGGACAAACTCATCCCCACAGCATGATGGTGCCACTGCCTTATATTCACAGAGGGCAGGGCGATGCTAACTGTTAGCAGAACACAGAAAACCTCCTGCATGACGACTGAAGGATTTAACTCAACAATCAGCTGGTTTCTGCTGCAAAAATAATCAGAAAAATCTGATGGATTTCCTCCGACAAGTTTATTCTAATTTAAGTTTCTTGGCAACAGTTTAATAATTTGGTATTTGATTGACATCATCTGGTGAAGGACGTTTCTCCTGCAGACATCTTAAAGGTGAGGTTCTTAAAGGTGAGGTTCTTAAAGGACAGCAGGGAAAACTGGAGCTTCATTTTTATAGTCATATATTTAATGTTCTTATTCATTTATAAAGTTTCAAATATATTTAATTTTAAAACAAAATATTAAGGAGTAGCCTAAATATTTAACTTTGCATTAAGTTTAGCTCCAAACTAAATATTTAGTTCTGAGATAAACTAAATATTTAATTAGCTCTCGGCTTGGTACATTTTATGTTGCAAACTAAATATTTATAAATGTTTATTTTGGAAGGACATATTTAGTTTAACAATATTTTGCTTGATAAGCATTAAGCTTCAGACTAAATGTTTAGCTGCCTGACTATAATTTAAAGCAAACATTTTAACATTTATAGATTAATGAATGAATGAATGAATGAATGAATGAATGAATGAATGAATGAATGAATGAATGACATGGTGTAAATATGAAACTGAAAAACGATTTGCTTCCTGACTGAATAAACTCAATTATTTCTAACTGGTGACCAGGATCCCAGTTCCAGTTTGATCCTGAAGATCTGAATCTGCAGAGGAATCAGACTTTCAGTCTTCAGACTCATTTAACCTTTTATTCCATGTAAAGTCGGTTGTGTTTTGAAGCGTTTAGCTGATTTAAATCTCTTGGTTTGTCGTGTTGGTGACGCGGTGAGTCCCGATCCGGCGCCGCAGCAGCAGGAAGTGTGGGATTCCCTGATGTCACTTCCAGCAGAAGGTTTTGCAGCGGCGTGAAGTCGCCTGGAAGCCTCTGAAGTGTTTGTGTGGCGTGGAGTGGGCGGCCCTGCGCCGTGTTTAATGGAGATATCAGTGAGGGCTAATGAAGTCTGCTAATCCTCTGAACGCTCCGTTAATCCCCACATTCTGCCGTTGTCTTTGTGGAGATGTGCGCTGCGGCGGCTGATGGCTTCCTGCTTTTATTGTCTCCATTTAAAGAGGATGAGGACTAATGGACTTCTGTTTAACTTTAACTCGGCGTTCCTTCATCGCCCTGCAGCTGCCAATCAGCTGCACCGAGTCACGTGACCCTCAGGTGGGGGGAGGCCTCATAAGAGCAGCAGCAGCAGAACCAGCAGCTCAGAACCAGAGCCAGCACCAGGACCAGCAGGAGAAACCCGACCAGAACCCAGTAGGACCTTCTCCTCCTCCTCCTCTTCCTCAGCTCTTCCTCTCTCACCTCCTTCTTCTTCTCCTGTTCCTGCAGGTATGCATCACGCTCGCTGTCCCGCCATCTTGGTCCTCGCTGCGCTGGCCGCGCTCAGTCTGGGCGTTTTGTCTCAGGCCGACAGAGACCAGGACCCCTACCAGAACCAGAACCTGGACCTGGACCTGGAGCTGCGTCACCACCGGCTGCTGCAGCGAGCCCGCAGCGCCGGACTGCTCTCGCAGGTAAAACCCTCCTCTGGCTTCACCTTTGACCTCAGGATGAGAATCAGCTCAGTTTTTATAAAACTGAGGACGTTTTCCAGTTACTGGTTCCAGTTCCTGTTACTGGCTCCAGTGCCAGTTACTGGTTCCAGTTCCTGTTGCTTACTGGTTTCAGCTGCTTCTTTCCCACCAATCGGATTAAAGAAACCAGTGGAGCTTCTTAATCTCTTCCATCATCTGCAGCATTTTGATGGAAGAGATTAAAAAGTTTCAACTGAGATTCAAAACATCTGATTTATGACAGACTTCAATGTGTAACTAAATCTAAACATTTATAATAAAAAAAGACAGAACATTATTTAAAAACAGTTAATTTAAAAATGTTTTTTTAAACTTTAATGTTTTCAACCCGTCCCTGATTAATGCCCTGGTGTCTGAAAGGTTTCACTGCGTTTTGATGCTTTAATTGTTCCCGTTTGTAACAGTTGTTTTTCTTTCCGTGTTTGAAACTTGGATAAAAATATTTTCTCAGTTTGAACGTAAAGTTCTGGTCCAATCAGTTGGTCAGAACCAAACGTCAACTGTTCCTCAAATTATTCTGGTCGGGTTTGATCTGGCCAGTCGGGCTGCAGCTGACCACGTGGTTCTGGTTCTGTCCGGTTCTGCAGGACTGGTCCAAGCGGGCCGTGGAGGACCTGCTGGCCCAGATGTCGAGGTCGGCGGTCGAGGCCCAGCAGGACGATCCGGAGGCGGCTTCCAGAGGAACCGACTCCAGACTGAACCTGGAGCGGTCCGTGGAAACCACCGCCCGCGAACGCAAAGCCGGCTGCAAGAACTTCTACTGGAAGGGCCTGACTTCCTGTTGAAGCAGGAAGCAGGTAACTGACTTCCTGTTGAAGCCACGTTAACGTCCTGTGAGCCTTGTTTCTAACCGGTTCCTGTTCCTGTGTTCCCAGCTGAGGCCACACCCCCTGGGACCAAACGACCAATCACCTTCAGGGGCGGCTGAACCGACCAATCAGCAGTCTTGCCTGAGTAATTATTGTAATTGTCCAATAAAGAACGAAGTCAATCAGTTTGGTGGCTCCGCCTCCTTTAATCTGAACCAAAACCAGGTCAGGGGTCAAAGGGGCATCACGTTTTCCGGCCACAGAATCATTTTATGGAATTATCAGGGAACTCTGCTGACTGCAGTTACTATTGAAATGCTTTATATATCAAATTTGACTTAAAGAAATAAAATTTTGTAATTTACGTCTTTGACATTTGACCTCTGTCTCTTTAAAAACTCCTACTCTTCCTGAAGCTCCGCCTCCAGGAAGTCGTCCCAACATGGCTTCTCTATTAACCTTTTAACGTTTTTACCAGCGTTGCTCTGAGCAGCAGCTGCTATAATGAACTCAGCTGGTTGCTAATTGCTGCTGGCTAGTCTGGAGGAGCTGAGTGGCGGAGGAGTTGCACCTTCAAGGCGGGGCTACGTCCACCCAGCTGAATGGTTGCCATGGAGATTAAAGGATTTCTCAACAACAATAAGATTATAACATGATGTAAAGCTTAAAGTAGATTTTACATGATACTGGCCCTTTAAGCCAGAAATGCTGCTGCAGCACTGGGAGCACTGGGAGTGTTTGTGTGGAAACAGCAGCAGGTTTTCCTGTTTGAACAGAAAGAGGGTCGAGTTTCATTAACCTTTAATGGAGAACAGAGAGAGAGAGCAAACACTGAGTTCAAACAACTGGAGATCTGCAAACACTCAGGGCGCTAAGTGGGTTTAGCTAACAGGGAGGGGTGTTAGCACTGGGGGTTGGTAGCAGTTTGGGGGTGATGCTAGCAGGGGGGGTTGTGGATTCAGGCGGCTCTCATTACGGAAGCATCTGAGCGTCATCAGCTGCTTTGTTTGCCAAAGTGATGACGACCCCGGACAGGTCACTGACTAATCCAACAGGCTCCACTGGAGTAACCAGAGAACCCATGAACCCATCCACACACAGAGAACATGCAGCTTTGCGCCGAAACCCCCCCAGGGGTTTGAACATGTTCAGCTTAACTAGCTAACAGCTCCTCCACTGGCTTACGGAGCTACAAAAGTAAGAATTTACTTATTAAACTGGGCTACATTTCATGCTAATACCAGAAGCTAGCTGCAGTAGCCCTGAAGCGCTAATCACAAACATTAGTTCCACTAATATTAAAGCGCTACACCAACAAGGTATCTAGCTCAAGCTAATGCTAAAGCTTCAACATTAACATGTTAACTGTCATATTCACACCTTCAAACATCTGCAACAAAAAGCTAATTTTATTGGTTTTAATGTCTTTTGTCCTTTTCATATTTTAAATGTTTGTAAAGCAGGTTGTCACAACTGTTGATGTTTTAAAGTGCTTCATAAATAAAATAGTAATTTCTCGATTTTCTCATCTTCAGTTATTTATGACTGTATAAAATAAAGACCATAAGATCTGTAAGCATTTAATGTTGACGTTATAATTTACATGTTCTATAACGATGATGTTTTTATGTTCACATCTTGTTCTCTACTGTCGGTTTTATTTGTTCCTGAAAGTTTGAACGTGAGGAGGAAATGGAACTTCACCTACTTCAAAATAAGAGCGTAAATAAATGTGTGACTACCTGAAGAGTTTTTAACAGCCAATAATCAAAACACAAACTTTATTCAACTGAAAGTTTACAAAACATCCAAATAAATAAGCAGTTAGCGTTTATCCACCAAAATGTATTTAATGGAAGCTAAGTGCACCAAAGGTTTGCAAAGTCAGCAGAAGTGTTAAAAATTAGCTCTGCTATTACTAGCTCAGCTAATTTTTAGCGCTTCAGAATTTATCAGGAGAAATGTATTTAGGTGATGGCAAATATGCTAAACATTTTCACAGTTTGGAAAGGTGCTAAGCTAATATTAGCAGAGCTAATGTTTAGCTTAGTGTTTCAGAAATTATGCCAAAGAATTCATTTAGAGGAAGCTAAGCGCGCTAAATGTTTTCAAAAGCACTAAACAAAAAAAATTAGCTCCACTATCAGCTTATCAGCAGAATTGTGTCCCTGTTGATGAACAGATTTCTGCTTCCTTGCTAACGATGTTTGTGTTTGTTTATTTTCTGTCTCTGATTGGTCACTGAGCAGCCAATCCCCAGGCGGTGGACCGGTCCAAGGGTTTTTTCCCTGAAACCGGGTTACTGGTTCAGTTCTGAACTTTCTGCTCCGCCACCTGGTTCGCTCCTCACCTGGCTCTCTTTTCATTGGTTGGTTGGTCGTTTTACCTTTTGAGAGTTTTACAGATAAAATGGAGGTCAGGGGTCATCAAAACACCTGAGCAACAATTTCAATTCAAAACATCGACTGAGAGATGAAATTAATCGGGAGAAACTTGGGGATTATTTTCCACAACAGAAATGTTTGAGGCACAGCTTGTCGCTGCCTTTTTACGTCCGGAATGAAAAACCGAGTTTCTGTTTTTCTAAAACAACGTTTTTCCTCCTCCACATGATTTCATCTCCTGACAGGCATCCAACCCACTGCGCCGTCCTTCGCTCGTTGTGAGTCTGTCACTGTTTTCTAAAAGCTGACATGAAATCAGACTGCAGGTGTTTTTCTGTCCAAAGCTTTTCATCTCGTTGAAAAAGGTCCGATCGCATTCAGACGTCAAACATGCAGGTAATAAATCCAACAGAACGAACCGTTCCCGTCACATCCTGATGCTCACAGCAAAATGTTTCAGTGACAAAATCTCTGAAATCCTCAGGAACTAATTTTCATCATGACATTCATTTTCTGTTATTAAAAGACAAAAATTTCCAAGAACGTGAACATCATCTTTCACAGAAATGATCTGTTGTTTAATCAGAATCCTGCAGATGAAAAGTTGCAAAAGAAGAAAAGAAACAACGAAGAGCCGAGCAGCAACTGAAGTTCAGACAGGCTGCTGCACAGACCGCTATCGGAAAGGAGCTCAATATTTAGAGCTACTTTCCGAAGCTAACTAAATATTTGGCCATGTGTAAGAAATATTCAGTTTGTAAACTAATTATTTATCTGACAGCTAAATATTCAGTTTGAAAGGTAACTTTTTTTTATCAAGCTAACAAGTTAAATATGCAGCTTGTAATTTCACTTTTCAGCTACAAGCTACGCATTTAGTTTGTAGCTAAATATTTAGCTTGAATGCTAATTGTTTAGCTTAGAGCTAAATAATTAGCTTGCTAACTAAATATTTAGTTTGTAAGCAAACTAATTAGCCCCAAAGTAAATATTTAGCTGCTAGCTAAATATCTAGTCAGCAAGCTACTTACTAAGCTAAATACTTAGCTTGCTAATTAAATATTTAGTTATTAAGCTACGTTTTGGCTTACTATGTGAATATTTAGCTTGAAACTGTGACGTTTCTAAATTAATGAATAAAATGCTGAGAATATTTGGAAAATGAATCTTGAATTTGTCTAAATAACTCAAATTATTCCTGTTAATTTTTCACAGTGACTTTTCAAACGGCGCTTTGCTGCTCAGTCAGAGGGAAACGTCCAGATCCCAGGAGAATCTGACCTCTGACCCGACTGAACACACCTGAGCGAGAATATGGAAATATGGAGCAACCAGAACCGGAACAGCCAGAACCAGCCAATGTGGTAAAGACCAACACGTTCTGAACCGACGGATCAGTTTGGTTCTGGAGCGTTTCACGCCTGTCTAAACCTGATTCTGGATCTGGGAAGCAGTTTCTGCTGGGAACGTCCGGAATGTTCCTGCTTCCCAGCAGAAGGAGCTTCATAACCACCATTTTCCCGAGCGATCCGACAGAAACCCAATGGGACGAAACGAGTTCTGATGAATAAACAGGAAGCGACTTGACGGCAAAGTGGAAGAAATTGGAAATAATTGAATCCTGATTAAAATGTTATCAGCTGAGTGTGTGTGTGTGTGTGTGTGTTATCTCAGGCTCTCAGGTGGTTCCTCAGTTACAGCCTCCCTTTGTTTCCACGGTGACGAGCTGACAGGTGCTGCACGGCTTCGTTACGGTGACCTCAAGACATTCGTGTCTTTAGAAACCAACAGAACAAATCAAATTCACCGAATCAGCAAATCCACCGTGCTGCCAAAGGGATAGAAAATAACAACAAATAATAAAAAACTTCACCAAAACAAAGAAATTTAATTTATTTTTCCTGTTGCTCTAAAGCCAAACCATCAACCTCCATTTTCATTTCTGAACATGTGAACCGCGGCTCGTCGTTCATCGGCGCCTCCATGAAAATCGCAGGAGAGAAAAATGTCAAAGAGCCGCGAGACACGAGACGACGTCAACCTGCTTCAGCAAACTGTGGAAACAAGAACATCCGTCCGTTCTTCAGCTCTGTTCAGCTGCTTTAACCCGAAACGGATTGAGGTGTGAACGCTAACTGACCTCTGACCTCTGGTCCTCCAAACCTCGGTCTGGGTTCGGTCAAAGTGAACTCTGGTTCAGTTTGAATGTGAAC